AATCATGAGGAATACCATGGCACGCTTTAAAAGTCTGTAAGAAGTTACGAGCTATACTGGCTAAATTCTATATTTTAAAACCCAAAGTACCGTATAAAATCCTACTGAATATATGTAAAGCCTTAGCTGAGTCAATTATATCATACGGAATATCAAGTTATGGACGAACCTTTAAGTCATATTATACTGAAAAAATATATATACTACAGCTAAGGTTACTTAAACTTATTGTACCCCAAAAAATAATACAACAATACAAAGAAAACTTATTAGACATTTTCAATTACTGTAATATTTTACCGATGCAAATGAAACTTCACATGACCCTATTAATTGAACAATTCAATAATAAAAGTACCCAATTGCCTGTATCCCATAAAGTAATTACAAGAAATATTACCAAATGCCAAGTCGAGCGAAAAAGCGGCACGGCCGTACCATACTTTTTTCGAAGCAATTCAGGCCATTTTCAAACCCCCTATTACTTCGTAGAGGATAAAATTAGAAGCTTGAATTTTCAGTAACCTAAAGGCATTGTATAAACATGGTATATTTCAAATTTCATTCAATTTGAACCAGTAGTTTAAGAATTATAACTAGTCAAATTTCTTAATTTTGTCACTCACTGACTGACCGATCATCAAAACTCTAAGGCACTTCTAGCAGACATAGAAGCTTCAAATTTAGAATACAAATATTGTTTAGTGTATAAATCAAGGAAAAACTAAAATATTTTTTAATTTCGGTCCAGTTTTCTAGATACACCAACTGCATAAATAACTTTGTAATCCTATATAAATATATAGAATTACAAAGTTACATTTGCAGTGAATGAATCAGTGTACTTGTATATGTATAATAGGTGTAGATAGGTACGTTGTTGGTATTCAAGAAGTAGAAGGAACCGAAAAGGAAATAAAGTAGGACTACCTTATCTACAAAAAGAAATGAGATACCATCAAAAACATAACTTGTAAAAAAAACAAGTCTCGCAACTCAGTTCTTCTACCGTAAAAAGTTGTGAGATCCATGTAATACCAAGTCGGTTAATTTATTCAGTCTCTACTTAAGGGTCCTTCTGTTTTAAGTTATTACGTAATTAGCTAACCTAACAACATTTTATAGTGATCATATCAATGTTAAAAATCATTTATGTTTTAAATATATAGATTGACTTGGCAATCGCACTAAGCAATCTAATTTAATATATGTATTACTTGTGAAATACATTGTGTTTTCATGCGATGGCCAAGTCAATCTATTTATTTGAACCATAAAGCCTTTAGGATAATGCCTGAATGCACTAAGTCTGCCCTTCGCAACTGTAAACCTTAGGTGCCATGAAGAACGAAGTAAGGAGAATATTTGAGTTCGAGCGCAGGGAAGGATACAACCAAGAGGCGGTTTTATTGGGGACCTCAAGGCAGTAAAATAGACAAATATCAACTTAAGAGGGCATATTATGCGTTTCGCGTCGAAAACTACATGTTTTATGGTTTTTCCAAAGGCGATATCGTAACGACGTGAGGAGATTATTTGCTGAAAATTAGGGCTTTAGAAAGATGAAGTCTTTATTTAGTACATAGCAATGCAAAATCATAGTTTTTAATGACAGTTTTTTAGGGCGAAGACAATCCCTTCACAGTGTTTTACGAAAATATGCATCAGAGTTATCTTTCAGGTTGAATACAACCATTATTATAAGCTAAAATACTTTATTTTAAGCGTTATTATAATGGAATATATAGTCTTTTAGTGTATAGCAAAAACTAAATTACGAAAGTATTTCGATTTAATATTATAAAATAATATTATAAAATCACCAAAACTGTCTACTTCAATGTAATTTTTTCCATGTATTTGCTTATAAACATATCTATTTTAATTATTTTATCAAAATACATGTAATGTTAAATATCCAAAAAAAAATTTAGCTCGTTTTATTTTGTCAATTATTTTAAAAATACTATAAACTCCGAGTTCGATTCAGTACGCTCCGGGTAACCCCAACGACAGGACTCTCTAGTAATATGTATACAGTAACTTGGAAGGACGTATCACTTTTTCTCACCGACACCGCGCGATCGCGTTGATACACCGATAGGGCTATACTATAACTAGATACCTATAGCACCATCGAGCATTTTAAACGATTGAGACTTTTATAAGCGATATTTTTGGTAGTAAGTAATTTTGAAATATGTTTATGATTGTAATATTTAAATATTAAATGATGTAATGGTGACAAATTTTCATTTCATTCATATTTTTTTAGAAATGAGTAATGAACGTAAGCAATTCGGATCAAGTAAAAATACAAAATCGTTGGCTTTCACTTTTGGCTCCGTGGCGGTGTGACTTGGTTATGAGTTGTAGCGCTGAGCGCCGCAGGTTCGAATCCCACATTGAGCAAAAATTTGTATTACCTACAAATAATTGTTCCAGGACTGGATGTTTGTCCTTGTGAAATTAATGTATTTAAACTGCCCCAACGATGTACTTAGGAAAAATTCCTAGTGCGGAGATAACGTTATGATTAAACAAAGACATGCCATCAAAAACATAACTTGTAAAATAACCAAGTCTCGCAATGATGATACGGCCGTGCCGCTGTTTTGCTCGACTTGGCGGGGGCACTACCGTGCCCCCAGACATAAAACATATGAGCCGTGCTTGAGTTGAGTAGCTCAAGGGCGTAGTGCTCGCCGTAAACGCGAACAATCCGGGCTCGATCGCCGCTAGTGTTGCCAGGTGTCCTGATTTGCGCGGGACGTCCCGATTTTCAAGGGTCTAGTGACACGTCCCGATTCACCCTTGATCGGGACGCCAGATGTCCCCATTTTCACTCACATTCTTATTCTATACTTTAATCCATAATTTAGACAGCATAAATGATTATATCTGTTAGCTACTACCACATTAAAATATTTTTACTACGACATTGTCTCACTAGTCGAAAAAAACCACAAAAGTTTTAAACAGAATTATATTAAAATGAGTGATTTGAAAAATTCAAGGACTGCAAAAAAAAAACAAATAGTTCAAAAATGTTTTAATTTGCTTAAAATGAAAAACAAAATCAGTTTTTACGATGTTTGGATGAAAAGTTATTCGTTTATGAGATCAGACCCGAATAATAATTATAAAGCCCAAAAAATAAAGTAAAGTTACAGTCACAATTTCTCGCATTACTCGCATGTGATATTTACACTTTACAGTTAGCGTTGACCATCTGAGCTACAACGGCTGTCAATAAAGCACAAAAAGGCTGCAAAGAAACCTATATTTTGTAGTCATTGTAGTTGTCCGGATATGAAAACCAAATTCCCGATTATTTTTACCTTCCGTCCCGAAATTTTACTTGCTAGACCTGGCAACACTACTCCCCCGCCGACACTAATGAAATTGTTAGTTTGTGATGAATTATGTTTACATTATGAAACAGAATAAAAGTTTATCAAATGATATATATTTTATACAATACATATTTTTCAATTAGAACATATACATATTTAATATACTGAATAGGGTGAAAATGTAAAGCCGACTTCAATTTACTAAAAGAATAAAACAATTTCCACATATTAGCCTCCGATTTCTATACACTATATAAGCCATTATATGGAAATTATTTTTTTTATTATTTTAATTCCAATAGTATCAAAGACAGGTATATAATCAACGATCAAAGTGATTCGTAGTCGTCGTTAGGCAACTATTATAGCCTCGCGCTCGCTCTGACACGCACACAGAGATAACATTGTAGTGTGCGTCAATATTACGCCGATCCAAAGCGATCGCGTAGATTTCGACTTGGACATATTTGAATATGCGCTCTTAAGATATTTATCATGCACGAAACACTCGTTTCATCGTTTGTAATGATGTTGACATACGTAGACATTTACTTACCATTTTATACAGCTACATTTACGAAGGGAAAAACGAATCATTTTATAAAGTTCCTGGCGAAAGACCTTAATTATATTTATGGAAGTTAATTAAATACGTAGAAACCAACAGAAACACACACACGCACGCAGAACACACACGAGAGAGGGGAGGAGCAGCAGCACGCACGCACGCACGCACGCACGCACGCACGCACGCACGCACGCACGCACGCACGCACGCATCCGAGCACGCACGCACGCACGCACGCACGCACGCACGCACGCACGCACGCACGCACGCACGCACGCACGCACGCACGCACGCACGCACACGCACGCACGCACGCACGCACGCACGCACGCACGCACGCACGCACGCACGCACGCCACACACCACACACAATTTGAGTATTAAATAATGTTTGGGTAGAACGCAATAATTACGACACTCATATAAAATCTCAAGGAGTATGAATTGCTCGAAACCAGCGCTTCTTCAGATCGTAGTCCTCTTCAATATTTTTGGTTGTTGTGATCCTTACTCTAATTATGCTATGGCAACCCACCTGCTAAGCATGGCAACTATGACAAACTAAATATGAAGCAATATTATATGGGGGAGGCCTACGTTCTGAATGAACATATATCGCCCCATTTCATTCTATAATTGTCGTAAGAGGTGACTACAGGAAGCTCCAATAAATCTTATGGCTTCTGATAGTTGGCATCTAATAATAAAGCACCTTTACAGCTTCATCGGGCTCGAGGGACCAATGACGATGATTATGAATAATTATGTACGTGTCTGAAAGTCAGGTCTTTGGTGCGGGTACTCATTTAATGTACGGATAAGATATCTAGTTACTTCATTTCTAATTTACAATCCCACTGACATACCAAGACATGAGGTAGGTATGTATCATTATTACAGCCTATCCAAGTTCACTGCTGAACACACACATCTCTTGTTTTAATTTCTCTCTATCGCCTCTTACGACACCCACGGGATGATATGGCTATGTAAATGGTCAAGATAATAAAGTAAACGCTCTACGTCATACGTTTTATTAATACTATATACAGATACACGTAAATGCTTTGTGCGCTTCAGTCTTCCTCGTGTAATGAGAATAACTTCGCCACCTCGAACATATCCTCGAACTCGCCTTGTTTCAGAACCTGTGACCATCAAAATATGTGTAAGGTTATATCATTGAATTTATACATGGTAGAGCCACGCTGCAGCTATATTACGGTTTGAATGAGTCGGCTAAACCAGGAAAGGATCACCACTCTCACATAATATAACCGTAAAATAGCAGCTTAATGTTATTAAACCATTGAGTATTAAACCAAAGGAGACGGCATCGCAAGGCATATCCTTCTGTACGTAAAAGGTACGAGAGTCCGACTCATACTCGTTATATAAAACTAGTTACTCCGCATCGTGCGTCATTTCGAAGTGATCGTGCCAGTAAATCAAGCTCCGGCAAAAAGCCGAATCGCAGTGTACTTACATGAAAAAAAAACAATCAAAAACGTGAAGTATACAAAAGGACAATGTGAATTTTCATCTGTGAGTATTTTTAACATAATATTAAAGTAATTTTATCATTAAAACTCGTACTTTGTGAATATTATCGTCCAATACCGAGTGTGGCCATCATAGTTCATAAAGTGAAAAATAGTCTAACACAAGTTATATATATACACACACACACACATATATATATATTAACGAAAATATATTTCCTAATAACTAAATCAGTTTGTGATGAATAATAATCACTACATATAGATGTGTAGTGGATTTTGTTAAATGTTTTATATATTCGGCACAATTTCAACACGATACTGAATATCATATAATTTAATAATGGATAACTAGTATTTATCAAAATATTATACAAAATAAAGGCCAGATAAGTCAAATCGAAACTTGCTACTGCGCAGCAAAAGTGTGCAATTTTTATAAAAATAAACTGGTATCACTGCAACCGAAAGTATTGCACTATTGTGATGGACGCCACAACTTTAGCTATCGATAAGTTAGTTAACCATGCGGGGTTTGTCTGCCGAACCGGTTTGTAGTTTTTATTTAGCTTTTACAGTAAAGTATTACAAAAAGTAGTAAATTTTTATAACAAATAAACTGGTATCACTGCAACCGAAAGTATTGCACTATAGTGATGGACGCCACAACTTTAGCTATCGATAAGTTAGTTAACCATGCGGGTTTGTCTGCCGAACCGGTTTGTAGTTTTTATTTAGCTTTTACAGTAAAGTATTACAAAAAGTAGTAAATTTTTATAACAATAATCTGGTATCACTGCAACCGAAAGTATTGCACTATAGTGATGGACGCCACAACTTTAGCTATCGATAAGTTAGTTAACCATGCGGGTTTGTCTGCCGAACCGGTTTGTAGTTTTTATTTAGCTTTTACAGTAAAGTATTACAAAAGTAGTAAATTTTTCTATTACGAGCATTGGTTTGTTTTTACAGATTTTTAAAGGATCCTTTTAGGCGACAAACTTGGATTGTAGCTTGTAGAAACCATGAATCTTGGATACCCAAACGGACTAGCACCATTTGCTCCGAACATTTTGAAAAATCATATTTCATACCTCAAGCTTACAATAAAAGAAGCTTAGCTGACACTGCAGTACCAACTATGAACTTGTGTGAGTTAATGTTTGGCTGTAATTAGATTTAGATTAAATATTTTTACATTATTAAACTACTTTTAGAACCCAATATTGTTCTACTTTTTTTTTTTTTTTTTTATAGGATAGTGTGACAAACGAGCACATCAGTCCACCTGATGGTAAGTGGTTGCTGCGGCCCATAGACATCTACATCCATCTTCCATTACAAATCAAAATGCAGTGGTATGCGTTGTCACCCGCCTGGAGGACTGAGATGGAATAGCCTCATTCTCCAGTAAAAATCGGGTCTCCGGTTCTCTACACTCACCGATACGAAATACAGCAGCATTAAGCTACTATTTCACGCTGGTATTCTGTGAGAGTGTGGTCCTTCCCCGGTCGAGCCGAAAGCCCCATTCGTGCTACAAATATACGCTACTAATATAATATGCACATGGCTCATTTTTTTTCTACCTTACAAAAAGTTTACTTGAAAATAGTTTATTAAGTTTACAAAAGCGTTAATCTATATATATATATATATATATATATACTATACAGTGGGTGTTCAAATTATTATACTCAACATATTTATTCCGTTTATTTAATAATTTTATGCTTTATAGTTTATAACACTAAAATTGTCTACTTTTAACTAGGCAACACTGTAATAGCCGCCATTTTGTTTCATTTGTGTCACTGTCTCTGTGTCTTTATTATACATAAGTGAAGGATTTATTCAGTATAAGGTATGTTTTATTGGTTCTACTTTGTAATTAGTTATTATTCTTCTTGCATTTCGCTGTTTTTTGTTATCTAATACATATTTTATTTTAAAATTCGTCTTTTTCATCAACATAACCTCACTTTCAATAGATTTGAAGATGGGGAAGCGTTCTGACGTGTCTCCAAAAAAGAAAACTGAAATTAAGACTTTCCTACAACACTGTAAATATTCTCGAAGGAAAATAGCAGAAATGTGCAAGGTTTCTCAATCTACAGTACGTAATATCAGTAAAGCTGTGCAACTAGGAGAGTCCCTGACGCCGAAAAATTCCGGAAAATGTGGACGCAAACGCATCACTAAGCCTCGAGATGAGTGAAAAATTGGGCTAATTGCCGAATCATAGAAAATCGGAATAAACCTAGAAGTCATTAGAGATATTCTAGAAGAGGCTGGAGTGACTCTGTCCGACATGACGTTACGTAGAAGATGGAAGGAACAAAACTTTTTCTGCCGTCGACCATTGAAGAAGCCGAAATTGAATCCTGCCATGCGTCTGAAACGCCTAGAGTTTGCAACAAAATATACAACTGGACTGCAGAACACTGGCATAAAGTAATATATTGTATTTTAAACGTATTTTGTATTGTATCACTGTATGGACATGTCTTTACTAATGTGAATTGATCATGTTTGGGATTTCTAGGTTTGCTTCTCTGATGAGTCGAGTATCTAGATCTTGCAAGACCATACGAAGTTTGTTCGTAGGAGACCAAATGAGAAATTCGAAGAAGACTGTATTGTAGAGAGAGTGAAGCATCCATTATCCATAATGATCTGGGGAGTTATCAGTGCAAAGGGTAACGGACGGCTCTACATAGTGGAAAACACTATGCGGCAGGATCAGTTCATTAAAGTCAGAAAAACTGATCCCACAGACATCAGAATGGTTTCCTAATAAGGATTTCCTGTTTATGCATGACTCAGCCCCATGTCATAAAGCAAAAAAGTGACAAAATTCCTAAATGATCATCAGATAAAGGTGTTGGAATGGCCTGGTAACTCTCCAGATCTAAACCCCATAGAAAATGTGTGGGCTGCATTAAAAAAGGAAATAGCTAAAGAAAAAGTCATAACTAATAAACAAGAACTGATTGAGAAGATAATCAAAGCTTGGTTTAACACCCCAGAATTAAAAACAATATCAAAAAATTGCATAGACAGCATGCCTCGTCGACTTCAAGAAGTTATTGCACAAAAGGGTGTTTGTGAAAAATATTTATTTGAAAAAAACTTGAATTAAATTAACTTTTTACACCAAAAACATGTTAAATTATTTTCAGAAATAGTTTTATAAGCTCTAGTGAAAAAATAATACCAGTAAACAGATTAAATTTATTACTTAAAGAAATTTAAACTTAAAAAACTTAAAAAAAATCTTATTTCATGGTTTGAGTATAATTTAACATCCACTGTATATATATATATATATATATATATATATATATATATATATATATATTTATATATATATATATATATATATATATATATATATATATATATATATATATCGTGGTGATTGCACAACATCAGCAACATCTGTGGATGTTCCGGAAAAATTCCATTAGTTGTCTCTAAAGTCACAATTCGAAAAAAAATCCTTAGATAGCCCAAACTAGTCCTACTCTCACTGCGAGTACAAGCCAACACTTAAGCCAAGGAAAATTAAACGGAAAAAATGCCTTGACATAAAAAAAAAATAGCATAAACAGGCTTCACAAGTTTGCAAGAAATACTTTGCCCTAACACTTAACTATTACTCAACAAAAGCCTATCGCTATGTACGTAAAACTTTTGGAACATGTTTGCCTGCACCACGGACATTGACTAAGTGATACACTACCATCGATCACCGGCCAGGGTTTACTCAAGAGGCGCTGACGGCATTAAAATTGAGAGCGGAGAGTAACCCTGATAAAAAAAATTATTGTACCTTGGTCATGGATGAAATGAAAATTAGGCATTTGACGGAATACCATGCTAGCAGCCAAAGGCATTATGTATATAACCAAAATGTCTTTTAGAACTGGCATAGTACTCCGTCAATTGTTTTATTTTCATTTCATCTATCACTAATATACAATACAATTTCTTGCCAGGGTTACTCTCTAGTCTAAGTTTTAAAACAGTTAACTTTTTTTTTGTGTAGCCAAGTCGTCGGTCATCAATTGTATATTACTTTAGCAAAATATCTTTCTGGGGAATACTTAGCCCTAGATAGATGTCACATTTTATTTTTAAGCAGCTGTCTGTTTAAAGTTCACTTTGTTCAACTGTTATACTGTGTAAAACTTTTTCATTTTCCTAATTTATTAAATATTTTCCAGATAGTTCATTTAATAACTATTCAAAATCAACAACTTTATATTAATAGCGGTTTTGTGATTAAAGCCTTATAATAAAAACAAAAACTTGATTAACACCATCTAAGATGATAAACTGATAGGATTTTTCTTTTCATAAGTCTGATTTTTAAAATAAGTTAACTAAACCTCCTATTTTGATTTGTTAAATATTTTAAATTTTATCCTGCATAATGTAAAATAAACCTGTAGCAAAATAACAAAGTTTTTTTCCGAAGATCGTTTTTAAATACTTTAAAAAAGAATTTCAAATAACACCATGGTAATATTTATCTATGTATTACTTATAATCAAATAAAAACTTGTGTGGACTATGGTGATTTGTTTATCGATAAAAAACATCGACATAGTCCACGCCTTACGTTGCTTACGCATTCAGCCAGCGCTATCAGTGTAACGACACGTGTACGATTTGATTATGCGAAACGCGATACAAAGTTGTTTTTTATTTGATATATCTCCCTGAACGCGCACGGCCTCTCCAGTTGGTTGAATACTCAAAGTATTAAACCCTTTTTACTGGAAACAAGGCATTCCATTTTAGTTTTCAGGGGAGACAACACATCTGCATTTTGATTCTTAATCGAGGTTAAAAGTGTGGATGTTTATGGGCCATGGCATCTACTTACCATCAGATGGACTGTGCACCCGTTTGAAAAATATATACAACATGTAACAAAAAACCCTGTTTTCCGTTCGTTAAGTGCGTTAGTATTCAAACATGCAAACGAATAACTTTACTAACTACTTTAAAACTACCATAAAAATCAAATTAAATTTAAATACATTTTTATTTACAAATTGTATGTTCGTTTACTACCTCTGCTTTGGCCGAGAGGTAAGAGTATTGACAAAGACCCCGCTTTACCGATGCGCATATGTCAGTTCAGATGTGAATAACATTTTTCACAAGATTGAATTTAGTAAGTTACGTATACACTAAAATCCCTATAATAATCAAAAAAAATTCACTGTCAAAAGCCATGCTTATATGTAAATCTATACAAAAAACATGGGAAATGGGTCTTCGTTTTTCTACTCTCACCATACAAAACACAGCAGCAGCTACCGTTACAGGCAATTAAAGTCCACTGTTGATCTTGCTGATTTACCATAGTTGCCACGCTTGGCAAACGGATTGGCAACTACAGTTTTTTTTAATTTGTAGTTGTTATTAGAAAGACGCTGCTCCCATCTCTTGATTTGTTTCCCTCTGTCGTCTCTTACGACTACACGGCCTTTGAAACACAGCAGCAGCATTATACTGCTAATTCACGCTGGTTTTCGGCATTTCAATTTTGTTTGATTTTGTATTTACACCTCTGTAGCCAGGCATTTTAAACATGTGAAAATAGCCATTTACAAGTTGTGAAGTAAGCTTAAATGGTAGGACTATTTTTTTTATCTAAGGGTCCATCTGAGTTGGTATCATACTCTTAACTATCTCTGGCGGCAAACAGCAGTGCTTGTACTGCTTCCGATGTGCAGGGAATAGAGAGCCAGTATAATTACAGGCTGTGAGGCGTTCCATCTTAGTCTTCAGAAGTATCAACGCATCTGCGGACCTCTTTATTCGAAGTGTTCTGCAGATGTCCATGGCCTGCAGTATCCACTGGATATATCATATGGACTATAAGTTTGTCACCTCAGTAATATAAAATGACTATCGAGTCGACCCGGCTTCGCACGGGTTATATCTGGATCTCGACAACAGCGCCACCTACCAGGTCCAGGTAAAAAATTTTGTCAAAATAAGTCAAGCCGTTACGAAGAGGAATAAACACGCACGACGGAAATTCAAATATTAAGACTAGCAAACCGCCCCGGCTTAGCACAGGTGATTTGAGTTCGCACGGTTTTTAACTGTGAATCTAAATAATGTGGGACCTACACAAACAACACACACAAAATTATAATCAAAATCCGGCCGTTCAAACTAAAAAAATATATACTTATACTAGCTTCCCGCCACGGCTTCACTTCTTTAGTTATAAGATAATCAAAGACCATTTATTATTTTTGGGCTTCAAGTTTTTCGGATAAAATATAGCCTAGAAGATCATTCCTCGCATTGGACTCTATCTGTTCGTCAAGTTTCATTACTATCGATTCAGCCGTTCCGAATATCAGCAAGGACAGACAAAAACTTCAAAACCGGTTATTCATTTCTTAATGCAAAAAATACCCTCAGATCAAAATAAGGTAGTTATTTCGATATTACAGCTACTACTACTAACACGATTCTCACCTGTCTAGCGATGTGCATGCGATTGAACAGATTCCACAGCAGCACCCCCACCACCCGTTTATCCCTTAAGTAGAACACGACTCCTCGCTCGTAACTACGCGACGAGGGCTCCGAGCTGGTACTTCGCTGGACCAACGTCCCACTGCTGGAACTTTCACTGCCAGTCTCCTTGCTGGCATCTTGGCTTGAAGCTTCCGTATCGGTGGGGATTTGATTGCCCTTTTCTATAACAGCTTGTTCAGTTTCTACGTCCTCTTGTGTGTTTGTGATCGCGCGCGCCTCAGTGACCGCATCCGCTGAGAACACTCCCACGGTTGGTAGCCGAGAATCGATTATTCCGATCGCCTGAAAAAAAAAACAAGCTTGCAGGTTATGTTTGCGCCGATATATTGCTATATAGACAGTGTGTGGTATGGTGTGTGGGTACCTCGTAGCCAATCCGCGGGCCCACGTCGGCCCACAGCATGGGCTGATGGGTGTAGGGGCGGGGGGGTTCGAGCGCCGCCATGTTGGCGCCGGCGAGGCGGCCCGACGCCACCGCGTGGTCGTGTCGCGCGACCCGTCGCCTCCCCAGCAACGGCTCGTGGAAGCACGCCGCGTCACCCGCCGCGAACACGCCACTGCGAGCCTGCACACACGCACACACGTACACATACATGTACTCATACATGTGCACGTGCATGTACACGTTAACGTACACGTATACATGAACGTATACCGCTGATGGAGAAGTTAACTCTGAATATCTTGCTGCGCGTGAACTTGCACCAGATATTTTATATAACAAGAAAAAAATGACATCACAGTTGTTAAAACCAATTACAATGGTCACATAGATACAGATCGCAGTTCTGAAGTATTCCTAAACCTAAAAAAAAATTATATAGTTTTGTTCGATTCACATGCACGTGGGCTAAAGGGAGCTAGAGCTCCAAGGCGAGGTATAGCCTGTTACATGAGATTTAAAGATATATATGTATTACATGGTATGTACGTATGGCCAGTACGAGCCTGCACACACGCACACACGTACACAAAAACAGTTTAGTGAAAAAAGTAAAAATATGATATTTAAATATGTTAAATAACCATCAGATAAATCATTTTTATTAATTGCCTACTATTTTCCATCTTATTACTAAAATGTCTACTTTTTCAGGTAGAAAGGAGGTAGGTAGAGAACAAAAGATTATTATACGAACGGACAGTCGAAATCATATACGTAGCTGCGGCCCAGAACGTATATAACACTCTTCAAAACGCTGTAGTAGCAATCACAATGTACTGGCTGTTGAATATTAACGATGATGTGACACATGTCACGTATGCAACATCTCGCTCAAAGGAAAACAAGGGAGCAGTCACAATGTAGGTAGGCAAACCACTGCTTAAATAGCTCTATGAGCCCTGATGAGATACGTAAAATAATTGCAACCCCAAAACAGTGATGTCGGCGAAAAACGCTTGAAAGCGGGGCTCCACCCCAATCAATTCCTGATGTAGTGGAAGATATAATCAAGACAACGATATGGAACCACTTGAGTACAATTAAAGGAACCATCTATAGCCATCAGAATCTAAGAGAAGTGATACCTACGAAATATCTCTCAATGAAAAGCAACCCTCAGTCTTTTCCTTCTAAAGTTCGAGCACTAATATTTCAACTAGCCCTAGTGTTTGATTACGTATACTTAAAATCAATGCATGTACGAATTTATTGTCGCAGGAAACCAGGCCTTCTCCCCAATATCAGGAGCGCGCATGTTCGTATCTTTTAAATTATGGAAATAATCCAGGCACAGGTAGGGTGTCAACTTCCGTTTATGTCGCCTAATAAACAGTAACAGACATCCCGACCTTAATAACCGTAAATTCTCAGAACTATATGTAGTGACATTGTAATGGGCAAAGAAGACGAAGTACAAAGAAACTATCAAGGAAGGAAAGCAATAGTTGATCGCTCCGTATACCTAGAAACCGGCTCGAAGGACCAAAAAATGTTCAGGTAATGGAAGCATATTTAATAATTATTTAAAATGTAAAAATATTTTAACAAAAAATTAAAAATATAAGATTAAAATATGTTAAATGCTATTGTTATATGTTATGTTGATGAGTTCGCGTACGTCGCGATTAAGGTGAAGTAAGGTGATGATTACGTAAGCTAACACAATTTCAACATTTGGGTAATCCTACCTCCTGGGTATTAGCAAGAACAGTTCATTTCATTTTTGTCATTAAAAAACATTGACCTCTCTCAACAAACGTATCGGTCGACTTTAACTCAGAAACATAAAGACGACCTTGAGTTTAAGCCAGTTTCCACCATAATGGAAACGAGTATACTCCTTAATATAGACGTATTAAAACAATTTGAGCGTCTTCAAGGGTGAATAGGCTTTTGTTACGCTAAGAGAGTTCAATTTACCATCTAAGGCTGCATCACCACTTACCCCTCTTCAATAAAAAAAACCACCAGATGGTTGTGATCAAGCACTGGCTTATAATAAGTAAAAAATATATAGACGAAACAGTGTCTAGTCTGAAAAGTGTAGTTTCTTTAAATCCTAAACTAATCACTAACAATAACGAGATGAGATTAGTCGAGATTACAAGAAAAATAGTGCCGCCTTTAAACGTGGATCGGGAGCGACGAACGGAGGAGCTGGCTTGGCATTATCTTTTTCTGATAGAAGAAACGGTTTTGGGGAAGAAAAAGAAATTCTAATTACACCTTTGGATTATTTTAAAAGTCGAGTAATGAGTCTAAGACAGGAGATTTAATCGAAACGACTACTTGTTTTATGCTCTTTGCATAGTTAAATACTATCGAGCTAAATCCAGGGTTTCTGTATCATGCAGGATGCGTCAGGACCAAGGTGTGTATACACCTCAGGGACTCATCCCTGAGGTGTATATCCGCTTGAACGAGTTTGCGTGAGTTTGGCGCGCGATTTATCACCCGTCGAGTCATGCTGCTTACGATAAGGATCGTGCGCGTCGGGTCGTATTACAAAAACAAATTGAATAAAGTGATGTTTTATTACTGTCTAGGAATTAATGTTTGCTTTCTGAACTGAACTGACATTTGTTTCATTTTGTGATGAATGTAATAATCATCATCCAACATCAATGATATTATAAGAAAAAGAGCTAGATAGGTTATACGCGCACCGCAAGTGGCACGTAAAAACTAGGCTAATTAGCAAACCTGAGCTCAGTCGTCGCGCCATCGTCGCGTCATTGACAACGGCGTTGATACTAATTCGTGTTTTGTTTTTGCACCGAAAATACCGCCATATGTGATGAGATTCTAATAAGAACACAAACTACCAAAGGTTACCAAAGGTCAAAAGGAATCATATTTCATTCGTTTACTATTTCCTTAATTTATTTTCGTATTGTTTACAAATTCAAAAATTACGTATTTTAAAATATATTGTCAGAAAAAATAGAGAGGGATAAAAATACCCCAACGAGTGGGTTTGAAAGAGAAGTGATATTGTTTCTGATCAAAGAATATAAAAAACAGATAGGTCTCTTCTGAGTATCGTAATTCAAATTGTGTACATATATTTCTTGTTTTAATGAAGAGTAAATTAACTATGTCATTATTAATTATTAAGTTCAATTTATTTGTTTTGTAGCGTAACGAAGTGGTACGTTCGTATATAAATAATTATTACAGCACTTTATTTGTAAAATAAATTTTAATAAAACCAATAATTTTTGTTATTTTTCTACTTTTAATGCATTTTTACTACTTTATTACTTTTACTACTTGCACTCATGAGTGAATCGCGTTTTAGGCATAATTCAGGGTGTACGGTATGATGTCATATCTGATTAATTATTCTACATCGTTCCTACTACACAAGACCACGCGCTGTCGCAAATTACATTGTCTCTTTTACGCTTGCGAAAGTTTAATCATGCCATCCTACTTTGACGTATAATCGTAATGCAGTGTGCTATTGCAATATTTAATTATTAATGTGTGCGTTAGTGTGCCGTTTTTGAAGATTGAATATTGTGTAGGTAACCTATCTACACCTTTTTACTTATAATATCATTGTCCAACATACGCAAAAGAGATTTTTAGCGATTTTTTTTTCATAAAATTATATTTAAAAAAGTAAAGCGACAATTACTTCTATTTACGAATGCAAAACATAGTTCATGAGGTATGCAAAAAAACACTTTATTTCTAAAGAAAACTGTCTATTTAAAGACTTCAAACATGATCTTACGTAAAAAATTTATAAATAAAACGGCCGTTCGGGCGCAGTCGACTACATGTTTTACGAAAAAACTTAAATCCACGTTTAAATTGATATTATATGTATATACGACTGTACTGACTACGACTGTTATTTGTAAACAAATAATCAATTAATATATTTTTGTTAAAAAAATGGCCTTTTGTATTTGAAATTACACAACGATGATAATTTCAGTGAGCGAAAAAAAAATCGATGCAACCGGTTGTACGGAAAAGATCAAATTTTGCATATAAATTACCAAATTGAATAGAATTTATTTATAAAATCGATAAAACTTACCATAGTCTTTTGTTTTTTAAAAACAAATATCAGCAAACTCCAATATAATCACCAGAAAACTTAAGTTAAGCTAAGCTGACTTAGCGGTCAGCCGAAGTACAGTCAACATGACCTGAAGATGCCTCGTGTAGATGCCGAAACACGTGTTATATTATCGTCGATGGTGTGTCTTTCCTAGAATAGTGGTGTTGGGAGTAGTGGCGTTAGGAGTAGTGGTGCTGGGATTAGTGGTGACGGGATTAGTGCACCCAATTGAGGTAGGGCGGGAGGTGCTCTTCAAACTAGGGAAGGCATCATTTTATTTAATTTAGCGGGTGGTTTCAAAATAACTATTAATATCTTTATTATAACGGATTTCCGCTAAATAACGCCTGCTTCTATCAATTATCTTAAAAGACAATCATATATTTACACAAATAAACGTTAAAATAAAGTAATGACTGTGCCAATTTGAAGCGCCGCTAAGGGATGTCTTGAAAAATAAAGTTGACATAATATGCTAAAGTATGTTGTCTTGTTCATATTGTCATATTTAATACGTCTGTATTTTGAAATTTTAAACTAAAAAACGAAAGTATTTTATGTTGTTCCATTGTGTATAATATTAGTTACATAGTAATGAAGCGATTTTTACAAAACCAACATAACTTTCATTTTTCGTAATTTTTTGTTACTGGTAACTTTTTGTTCGTTTTCAAATAGGCTTTTCAATGCATTGATCCGTTTTTAACAAAAACTACTCAACTACGAGAAATCCCTTGTTAAAAATTTGGTGATTTTACAAAAACTACATATGTGCAATAATATTTGGCAAAAACAACATAACTGTTACAGTTGTGTAGTTTTTGTAAAAAAAAAGTCGTCAAATCTGTCACTGTCAGTGTAGTGTATCAGTTGGCGGCAGAGAGTTGTTTTGTTTTGGAGTGAATTTGCAAGTTTTGCTATAAATTATGGCGGAAAATAGTGAAAATACTACTGGAATTAAACGTAAAAAACCTAAGATGAAAAAAGAAACTGTGATAAAATTAAAGAAAGCTCAAGGAAAAGAACATATTAACCACAGAAA